CCACCATAGCTAGATTCGTCCTCCTCCGCATTTTGGCGTGACCCCCCAATAGTGTTCGACGTCGTGGAAGCCCGAGAGAGACTGTTTGTGACTTGCTGCACCGCCTGCGCAGCTGCCTCCACCACCATTTGTTGCATCTCATGTCTGGTCATCACCACCTGCTGGCCGGGGACTTGCACCGCTGTTGTGGTGGTGCTCCTCCTTGCTCCGCCGTTCCTCTTGGTTGCGCTACCACTCATCCTGGTTGCGCTACCACTGGGTTTTGGGGCGGCGGTGGTGGCATCACCACCGAAGCCGCTGCGCGAATCTCCTGGGCACGATTGGAGCTGGCATCCTCTCCGGGAATCGTTGTCGTCGCTTCCACACCTTGGAGGACAGGTGCATGAGTGATCAGCGTCAGCGATGGGCCAGAAAAACCTAGAGAAGGGCCTTGTCCAAACGGTCTGGTCGTCGTCCAAGCGTCGTCGAATGTCGACTGCAAGTTTTTGGGAATTTCGTCCGCCATAGCGGAGCTTCAAACACAACTTCTCAAACGAAAGTCCCCACAGATGACGCCAAATGGTAACACAAAACTTTCGGACTGGCTGGAACTTGAATAATCACCTTCCTTCTCACCGGTTGAATGTCGTGCACCTACAAAGAACTCCCACACCAGAGGGGTTTTTCGATGAAGAGCCTCTGAAGCTTAAGTCAGTATATATTCAATCAGCTCTCAAGAGTAAGTAATGGAATGATCGTGTTGAAGAAGAAAGGCTCACCCCCTTTATATAGGGGTGAGATACCTGACCTAGGGCTGCCCAGATTTGATGAGTTGACTGCCCTAACTGCCCGTCCGTACACACCATACGCGTGTGTCAGAGGTAGCCGTCTCCACTATCGCCTGCACCAATCCCCTTTGGACGCGTGTCCTCCTGCACATGGGGTAGGCTGTCAGAGGTGGTTATCGCTATCAACCACTGCCTTCTCGACAAGTGTACCCCTGCACATGGGGTAAATATTCTCCTGAAATTCAGTTAGAGGCTCTCTCACGCGCCTGTGACTGGGCCGATCAGTGTAGCGTTAAGTCCTCAAAGTGGTCGTCCTGTCGAGGCCGACTGAACTGCTCGATCATTTATCTGGTCGAAGGATAGTTTGGTCGACAGCTTTGCTGATCGACTAGTTAACTGCTCGATGTCCTTGACTTCCTCGACCGGTCAATAAACTGGTTTAACCTTGTGGGTATAATATCCCATATCACATTTGTTTTTGATTAAAAAGTCTATAATAGGCAATGGAAGATCCAATGAAAGAAAATGATCAAGGTTCAGGTTATCAAAGTTGGACTATTGAAGAGAGCTATGAACTTCTTAAACTTATGATTGATGTTTCTAATCGTGGTTGGCTTAATCACGCTGGGAAAATAAATAAGATAACAATCGAAAGGTATATACTAAAATGTTTGAATGAAAAGTTAGGGATCACCCGGACTTACAATCAATATATATGTTGAGTGAAATATTTTAAGAATCAATATGCGAAGTACAATAAGCTTATGCGGCATAAGTCTGGCTTTGGATGGGATTCCGCAACAAAGTTTTTCTCTGTGAATAATGAAATCTGGGAAGATTACTTTAGGATTACTCTTGGGAACATGGAAATCTAAGAAGGAGGCCTTTGAATTCATTCTTCAAGCAGCAAGAACAAGGTTGATTAGTTGGCAAAATACCTATCTGTCCATAACAGGGAAGGAGGTGCTAGTTAAGGTTGTTATCAATGCTCTACATGTGTTTGCTATGAGTTGTTTTAAGTTACCTGCTGCCATTTGTACTGAATTGAGCAAGATTACTTCAAGTTTTCGATGTAGCAAGGGATCAAAGCAAGACATGGAAATTCAATGGAAAAAATGGAGTAGCATAACTTTTCCTAAAGCAAATGGAGGATTGGGCTTTCAGGACTTCAAGTTGTTCAATGAGGCTTTAATTTTGAAACAGTTATGGAGAATTACCATACAACTAGAGCTACTTATCAGCAGGGTGCTAAAGACTAAGTACTTCCTAGTGTCTTCTATATTGGAGGTGAAAAAGGTGAGTTATGTTTCATGGCTATGGAACAATTGGACTGAGTTGATTCCTTTGTTTGCTAAAGGACTGAGCAAAGAGATTAGAGATGGCTCTAATACCAAAATTTAGGATCATAGTTGGGTTCCATCGCTTAATCATAAAAAGCCAATCGCTTAATCATAAAAGCTCTCAACCTCTAGGAGAATGGAAAACCTCTCTTACCTAGGTTAAGGGTCTCATTAATGCAGATGGATGGAGCTGGAATGAGCAGTTATTGAATATGGCTTATGGAGAGAATGATAGAAGAGCAATTTCTGCGGTTGAATTTCTTAAAGTTGACCAATCTGACAGGTGGAAGTGGAACTTTAATAAACAAGGGAAGTTCAGAGTTGCAGCCTCTTATCATTATCTCATGGAAAGGAAAATACTCAGTCATGACTCAGCTGAAGAAAGCTCAACAGGAGTGAGGGACAAGCAAATTAGACAAAGATGCAAGAAAATGAGAGTCAAAGAGAAATTGAAACACTTCATCTGGAAATGTTTCAATGGTATTTTGCCTATTAGTGTGAATGTGAGGAGAAAGGGAGTTTAGATCGATGTCCTTTGTAAGCAATGTGGGGAGCAAGAGGAAACCATTGAGCACCTGTTTTTTTAATTTCAGAAGAGCTAAGCTAGTTTGGAAGATGGCTCCTGTGGTTTGGGATGGTGTACAACATGGTGAGTCTACATTTAGACTTTGGTGGTGGTAGGTTTGCTCGATTGACACTTCAATTATATATGAGGATCGTATTCAAGTCAACTAACCACTTATATTCTTTGGTGGTTATGGCGATCCCGGAATCTATGGATTTTTGAGAATGTTTGGATGTCGAAAGTTGTGCTAGTTAAAGGAGCTTGGAAAGAACGACAAGAGTTTGTGGGTAGCAAGGCCGTGGCGGATAGTTGAGGTGTTTGGTTTTGGTTGAAAAATAAAAGTGAAAATAGCTATTTTCACCCCCGTTCTGAAGTCATACTAAGTTTTTCACACCAGCCAATAAAAAGCTAAGTTTTTCACCCCAAAAAGTACGAAGACATATGCGATGAACTATGCGCTAAATAAGCGACAGGTATGAGCATGGGCGAGAAAATTATGAGTTAAAGTGTGCGACTGTTCTATGATGAATATTCGGAGATTCGATGTACGATTCGGTCAATCGCGGTCCGTCGCCCATTAAATAATTATTTTTGTTAGGCGAATGAACTGTGACTATTAGTCGAAAAAATTATTCTGCGACACAACTGCGACATGCCAATGTCGCATATTATTCGCGGAATTAGTGCATAATAAGTTTTTTTCTTATTTCTTTCATCTTTCAGTTATGCGAGGCGGTATGCGAATTACCGCATATTGCTCGCATACCTCCTTCGCACTTCTACTCGAAAGTGTATTTTTTATTTATTTTTTTTATTTCTTTCATCTTTCGGTTATTCTAGTTATGCGATGTGGTATGTGAATTGCCGCATATTACTAGCATACCACCTTCGCACTTTTACTCGAAAGTTTATTTTTTATTTCTTTCATCTTTCTGTTATTTCAGTTATGCGATGGGGTATGCGAATTACCGCATATTGCTCGCATACCCACTTCGCGCTTCTACTCGAAAGTTTATTTTTTATTTCTTTCATCTTTCATCTTTCATCGATCGAAAGTTTATTTTTAAAATTTAAATTTTTGAATGGTTTGAAACCGCTGGCAGTTAGAACGTTACGGCTGATTTTGAGGCGTCTTATCCGCTTTTCAAAATGCCTATGCAGTAAAAGCGTGCACGCGAATCGTTTCATCCGTCTATATAAAGCGTGTAATCTTCGATCCATATAATGCCACTTTTCTTACTACCCATCCGTCCCACAGAACTCTTTGTTAATGGCCCTCCGTTTTTCCCTTTTCTTGTATATAAGAAGCAGTTCGTCGGAGATAAACCAGAGTTACAAAAATTCTTTCTTTTGACCCGTGAGGCAATTCTTTAAGATTACTATGTCCGAATTTAGAACTCCTAACCTTTCGAAT